ACTTCTGTTAGTATATGAATTGATACTTTTAACACGTGTAAGAACTCAACACAGATGTAATCTTATTGCTACAGAAGCCTAACGTCTTGATAAAAAAGTAATTGATGCGAGAAAACATATGGAAACAAGCAAATATTTTTTCTTCGGGAACTTTCTTCAGGAATGATAATAAGAATCAGACATTATATGCCATTTCAGGTGAATAATATGTGATTATTGCTCGGAAAAACTTTGGTAACGAGCATAAATTTATGATACTTTTATAACGTACCTGAAGAAAAAAATTCAGTAGATGCTCTATAAAAAGAAAAAGAAATACAGTAATCAAGATTCTTATGAATTTGGTGTTCTGCTTGTTGTGAAAATTACTTTCTTTTTCTTTAGAATAAAAGCCTGTTATCAGTGACAGTTTTATCGCACACATGATAGCGAAAAACATTTTTATTTTCATTTGTTATATTTATTAACGTAAAGAATGATTCAAAGTAACATATAGGTTGGAAGAAACTTGTTTTTTGCTTCTACAGAAGTAAGCAACGAAAAAGAATTATTTTTAATTTGTGAGCTATGTCTTTTTCATTGCTGTCTCTCTTCAAAGTTATAGAAGAAAAGAAAGTCAGACAAAAGAATAAAAAGGAGATTAGTCGTAACTGCATATGAAAGTTGAAATGAAGTGAGTAATTGAAGATTTTTTTCATGCTTTATGATTTCTTAGAGAAGGAGTTTAAAGTTCATTCATAGAGGGAGCTAGCACATCTCACAGATACGAGATTTAAATAGTTTTTATTTATTTCTTACGGATTTGTGTTACTTATTCCGAAACAGAAAAGGGGTGGATATTTTTCGGCGAACTTCTGATCAGAACAAAGATAAAGAGCTGCGATTTTCATCATTCAAAAGAGGCAGTAGTACTGCACAGTGTCATCTAGCGACTAAGAGGTTTGCTTCATAGGCAAATAGTCAATTAATGATACTCGAGAAAAGAAGAGATGCTCTTTGACAATTACACGGATTGTCAATTGTGAGGAGTGCAATAGATGCATTAGTTCAAGGTCCAAAAAGCTAGGTGAATCCGACCTTTCTATGTTGTTTCATCCGAAAGTTATACACGTTCTACTAGGCATGTTAACATAACGGAATCATTTGCTTTTAGTATTTTTTCGATTTTCAATAAACTTATAGTGGAATTTCTAGACATAGCTTACATCATTCTCAATAGAGTGGAACTGTTCATTTTGGAGTGAGAAACATCTTTGTCCAACATCCGGGGACTGCTATTGTCTGCGATTGTTGTTTCTCAAAGTCTCAACATTATTTGGTATGTTTTCTCTTTGTAATTCAGCTTGTCTACAACGAACGATCCGAAACCTCAAAATTTGACTAACATCTCGAAACTAGCTGAACAGTCATATGAACTAACTGCTGATCATGCAGTTGAAGTTCTTAATAAACTTGCTGCATTGGTAAATGACTTTGCAACATATATGGATCCTATTGTTCTTAATACAAGAATAGAGGGTGTGGGTGGTTATGTGTTAGAGTTCTGCATCACCATGGCAACTGGTTCCAGTACCACTAGTGTCTATACAAAAAGGAGTTAATTGTGGCGCTATCGGGACCAGTTGCCATGGTGATGCAGAATTTTAACACAACCACTCACACCCACACCTACACCCTTCAATTCCTGATTTTCATAGGTATTAAATGCGATAATATAGGATTCTAAGTTAATCTTAAAATTTAAATGACATTTGTGTGATGATGCAACTTGCTGAACTTGTGTTTACATTTTTACTCTAGATATTACTAGTCTTGCTGATTGAACATCGGTAGCTATAAAGACTACTACTATGACTAGCACCCGTCTGTTTCATGACAACTTACTCATTTTAATGCACTGTGGAAACTTTATTGAGTCATCAGAAGTACTTACTGTAGTAGACTTAATTATTTGCAGCGATAGAAGTTAGGTTTTCTCAATCATGATAGAATTCAATTGAAAGTGCAACGTAAATGTATACAAAACGTTTTTGCAAGAGATTCCGAAACGCGCCTGCATATATTTGTTACCTTTTTCACATATACAATGATAACTCTTTTTGTGTACTCAAAAAGTGAGTACACTACTAAAATCGGTCTGTGTGTCCGTCCGTCCGGCCGTCCGTCCGTATACACGATAACTTTCGAAAGGAGAGTCAGATCGCGATGAAATTTTTTGCACAGTTCAGTCTTTACAATATCTCGATCGAGTTCGAAGATGAGAAGGATCCGTCAAGAAATGCCTGAGTTATCGAAAAAATTGTGATTTTTGACCAGACCATCCCTGAGGGGGGGTACAGGAATTTTTTCAAAACAAAAATTTTTTCTCTGAATTGTTCACAACATATATAAATCGACTCAGGTTTTAACGCTGATTCTGAATCTGATATTAGTTTTGAATCGAATCATAGTTTTGTGTACTCAAAAAGTGAGTAGACTATAGAATAGTCAGTGTGTCCGTCCGTCCGGTTGGCTGTTTACATGATAACTTTTGACAGCAGAGTCAGATTGCGATGAAACTTTCTACACAGCTTAGTCTTGACAATACCTCGGTCGAGTTCGAAGATGAGAAGGACCGGTCGAGCCGTTCCTGAGTTATTGCAAAAATATCCATTTTTCCCTATAGCTTTCTATGGAAAAATGTACCCATTGCGACTTTCGTAAAAGACTTTTCCTATCATAGTCAATTAAAACCCCAACTATTATATACCATTCGATAGAAAATTTCAAGTACTACAAAATGATATATAAAACATAAAGAACCAAGAACGTTGACTAACCTATGACAAAGATAATTAAAGAGAACTAGGTTATATTTTGGTCCACAATCTAACTGATCCACAAATAGAGCTTTATCTTCAGATTACACTGATGATACTTCGAGGTTTTCAGGTATGGAGAACTCGAATGTGTACTGCACTTCCATCGGAATACTATTAGTTGTGCAGTGACCAATAGAAATGAAGTTATAGGGAAAACGACTTTCTTAGAGTAAATCAAGGTGCAGAGTTCAAACTTGAGCTGTATTCCGTTCCATATCCTATTGGTTTGGCAACGCGCAATATAAATCAACATTTTAAATGGTAGATTTCACAGTATAATTTTGATATTCAGACAGTCTAGGATGATTGATTTTTATGATTCACTTTTTGAAGTACACATAACTCTCGGATTTAAATCAGAAGTTTCCGCATTTATTTAGAATGAGTAAAACGCGTGTATACGCATCGAAAGTGCGTTCTTTAATTAGATCGATAAAGACTTAGTAATAAGCGCTAATTTATAGCAGATTGAGAATAACTGTACAATAGCTTCCTCTTTTTCACTCTCATTCTAGACACATCACAAAGGTATGGTTATGAATAGGGGTGTACCATTTTATTTAACGTAACTTAATTAACAAATGTAATTAAGTATTTTACTAAACACTTAATATTGAATGCTTTTATTTAACAATTAATTCATATAAAACTAAGTAATTAAGTGATTTTTAAGGGAGATATAATATTTTGATAATATCTCAAGCCTTATCCTATGAACGTATCTATGGATCCTCAAAATCTATACTGTGGGCGTACTCATAGGTCTTCAAGCTCTATACTATGGAAGTATCCATAGGTTCTCAAAGCCTGTCCTATGAGAGTAGTCATAGGCTCTAGAGGTCTACCCTATGTGGGTACACATCGATCTTCAAGCTAAAGATGGACATCGAAACCAAAACAATTTTCTGATCCCGGTAAATGATTTGCTCGTCGCTGCATTATCTTCACTGTTAAAATATTACTTGATCGTGCATTTCGTAGAGAAATGTTTGCTCTTTCAACATATATATTTTAAAATATGTCACAGATATTCGTTATCAATTAATTTAACAAATACATAACCAGAACCAGATTGGTCCCACTGATGTAGAGTGTGGATGTGGGTGTATGAGTCATTGACTGATCTGCACCAACACCCGCAAGAATACAAAATCATAATATGAACTAAAGAATGCTGTCAATGAAGCTTTAAATGGTTTATCATTAAATGTTATTCAAGCATACATTAAAAACACTCATAAAGTATATCAACAGTTTATATCTTCATATTAGAGTTTTATTTGTATTATAATCATCTGCACTTGTACTATTCATATATATCGAAGAAAACTTCTTCTGATCATAAACTCTATATTTCAGATGAAAATATAAAGTGTAGGGTTAATTTTGTCCATAGTAGGGAATAAACAGAACGTCTTGCTCACTTACTCTGAATCATCACAATAATAAACATGCTTTTTTTTGCTGAATAGAGATGCCAACACTTTCATGTTGAAGCTGCTAAGACGGAAAAAACCAATTATTTTTCAGTCGAAAAATAAAAAGTAAAACATGTGTGCCATTTCATCAGCGGATTATTTTTCTTCCAACTAGAGTGAATGAACGTGGCAATGACTTCAGCATCTTTTTCGAGGAAAAGAGGGAGTAGGAAAGTCGTAAGAATCTTTTTGTATTTAAGGTTGCAAAATTCAGTCATTCCATTCTTTCCAACCATTTTATTGATTTCAGATGACAACTACAGATGATGAGATATCACTCAAACAATGTCTGAGTGTTATCATAAATAGGATCAATCAGTGCATCGAAAGCTGGAAACTCTGCACTGAAGAGCAACAGCGAGGATTATTGCAACCTCAATCGAACAGATTAGTAGATGTTTCTCAAGAAAATGATTTGTTGATGAACGATACGTCCAAGATCACACCAGGGAACGGTAGAAGCAGTAGCTCCCTCGATGTAATGACTCGAATCATTGAAGAAACGCTCGAACAAGATCTCCCTAATTTGTCAAAGAAGAGTCAGAGATTCTTACTCGATTTTTTTCATACATACCATTATAAACCGGAGCAAAAGAAGTTTCATCCACCGCTTAAACGCGAAGACTTAAACACACTGAGTCACGATTTAAATGGTTTACTTATGTCTGTGACCGCTTTTGCTGACGCATTCCATGGTAGACTATCACCGATCAAAAACTTTCTCGAAGAATATCCTGAATGGAAAGACAAATCGGGTCTATGGCAAACGACATTACTGTATTCCGCAGCACGTCATGGTCGATTAGACATAATTCAATATTTAATTGAAGAGGCACACTGTTCAATCAATGCTCAAAATCAACGACAAGAGAATTATATAACTGAGGTGACTTCATCTACGGCCCTTCACCGTGCTTGTTCGCTTGGCCACTTAACCCTTGTAAACTATTTGGTCGAACATGGTGCTGATTATTTCATTCGGAATCAAATGGGTCAAACCCCAATTATGGCAGGGAAACATCATGCCAATATCCAACAATATTTTCAAGATTATCTAATCATTAAATATTCGATGGATACACCCTCAAATTTACCAGACTGTAACTTTTCCGATGATTCAAGAAGACCCATGGCTGACGGTTGGTGGGAATACAAACCTATTCGAGATCCTCAGTGGTACAAATTTTCCAAAGTTGGTGCTGCCCAACTTCACGAAGCTCTATTACCCTCCAAAGAATTTCAAGAACAAGTTTATCTATCGTTGGGAAAAAATTATCTTTATTATATTTCCATGATAGATTTCTTTCGATCAGGAAATTATGCCGACGATCCAGAGAGCAAGGTCGCTTGGATTCGCTACCGTGGATCGAGTGTTTTCAGTTTCGATTGCCAGGCTCTCTGGCAAATCATGCTACTGAAACATCCAAAAATGAGTGCTCGTTCAAATACTACTCCAACGATGGAAGTAGAAAGCATTCCAGAAATGAGTGACAAAACCTTTCAACCTCAACTCTATACTTGGTACAGATGCGATACGAAGACAAATCAATTGTTGGAAGATGCGATCAATATGCGGCGCAAAATTATAATAATGCATATCAATAGCATTGGAGAGAATTTGAGCATAAACTTCGACACATTTTTTCTGACGAACAATGATCAAACCATTTCAGGTTACCTTCGTTGGATTCCCAAATTGATCTCGAATACTGAAAGAAAGAAACATAAGATCGTAGAAATTGATAATTATCAGCCAATGACGAATGTAGACCCGGTTCCTCTCACTACAAAACATCTACGAGATGTTGTCACCAAAGGTGCAAATGATCAAGAGGGGAACATCTCTGGCGATGATGATGTGGATGACGATAGTTCGGATAATGCGGAAAGGGCTGATATAAAAGATATTGACGACGTCGATGATGATGATGATGAATACCAAAACAGTGAAGAGAGTACTGACAATTCTCAGGACACTCCTGCTCAATCCGAAACAGCGGCTGATCTTTCTGCAGAGGCATTTTTCCATCCAACTGTTGGTCAACTGCAGCAGAACGCATTAGTTGAAAAAAGCAATGGAGATGAAAATCAGCAATTCGTTGACGTAATGATGGCTAAAATCCGATCGGTTAATCAAAAGCTCAAAGATAAAATTGAACACGAACAGCGACGAATTGAACTGACAACTCAACGCAAGCAGGAATCTAATCCAGAAGCAGAAAAACAGCTAAAACAGGCGCTAGAGCGATTGGAACAAATGCAACAACAAGTTGACAAACACAGCAAGCGAGAAAAGGCAGCAAAATTAGTAATGAGCCAAATCAAAACCGTCAATTATATTAATGTCGAAGCATTTGTTATAGAAAACTTTTTGTATTCGAAATTAGCTGATCTAATCGATCATCTGAATGAAGTCGAAGAGTTAGACGAGTTGATCAAAGGAAGAATTCCCAAAGTCACTATTCGAGAACGAAACACTGCTTATTGTATATCTGTAATTGGTTTACAATGTCATCATGATGAATTCAAGGTAATCCTCCAACGAATTCGAACATTGTCCAATCTAACTCGATCAGCGAAAAATTACTATGAACGACAATTGCATCGAGTAATCAATGGCATCCATCGATCGTTGATCATCGAGGAAATTCCTTCACTATCAGATTGGAAATGTTATACCAAAATTTTACGAAAACTGATGCAGAACGAAATAGAAACTTATGTGAAAAATTTTGATGATTATATTATCAAACAAGCGAAAGATATCGTTTCTCAATGTATTGGAAATGCTGGTTTTCAATCATGGGTTGCTATACATGAGAAGACGAATGAGTACGGGAATAATCATTCGTTTTCTGGTGAGATCGAAGCACTAAAACATAAAGCATTGGATGAATTCGTCAATGAACAAGTGGTCACTCGACCATCTGGATCTCAAATAGTCCTATCTGCCGCATCTTTGCAAGTGATGAACGAATTTATCAACAGAGCGAAGACTGAACTCAAAAAAAATCGAAAATTCATCGGCACAAGTGAGGATCAATTTCGTCATACAGCTTATCTCTTACAGCGCATTATGTTGTATTATCGTTCATGTCTTCTGAAATTACCTTTGTATGAATCATCAAAATCTTTATTAGACAAAATAGAAAAGAACACAGTTGTAACTATTGCCACTTCGACTGGATCAGGAAAATCTACCCTTCTACCAGCACTATTGATTGCAGAAGGATATGATCGAGTTTGGGTCACCCAACCTCGCCGTTTACCATGTACATCGATCTGCAATCGAGTGAATAAAACGATGATGAATATAAAAGATCGATTTCCATTAGCTGGTTGGTCTGTGAGTGGTGCTGAACGCAATACCGATGCTCAAATCTTGTACTTAACAGATGGTCTCCTCAAAGAACGCCTTTTATTCGGTTCAAATTTTATTGAAAATGAAATCAGAGGGGATAAACGTATCGTTCTGTTTGTTGATGAAGTGCATGAGAGATCGATTAACATCGATCTATGTCTAGCACTCATTGCTCGTCTTCTTACCGAACAACCATCATTGAGATTGAAGCTTAAAGTAATAATCTCATCGGCGACACTCGATAAATCCGTCCCGAATCTGTTTCGCCAAATTCCACAATTAAAATTCGATCAATATCAAATGCCATTCAGCCAAACTCTTCATAAGGTCGAGAAAATCTATCGATCTAAAGAAAACATTCTTGATGTGGTACAAGAATTATGTCGTAAACGACAACAACACGATCAAATTCTCTGTTTTGTTAGCAGTGTCACCGATGTCTATCAGTATTGTAATTTGCTGGGCAAACTTAGTCACGGCATAGTCATTGCTCATCCACTTGTTCAATCACAATCGGCGAGTGAACAACAACAATGTATTGAGCATGGTACTATTTTCTTCTCTACTACGGTTGCGGAAACGTCTCTAACATTTCCGTTGTTGAAATATGTCGTGGATACGGGTATGATCAACGTACCCATCTACGATCCGAAAGCGAAACAAACAACTTTGAAAGAAGTGCCTGCTTCAGAATCGACCATTAAACAACGTTTAGGTCGACTTGGACGAACCAATCCAGGTGAATATCATGCTCTGTATGATTCAAAAATGGAACGACGAATCTACCCCAAGCCTCATGTGTGTCAATCGAATTTAATCGATGTAGAATTTTCATTACGGAGATCTTTGTTAGACAATGGGTTATCTCATCTGAAGAAATTCCTTCCAGATCCACCTGAATCGACATTGATTGAGGACGCAATAGAAGAACTAGAACGATTAGGTAAGTAGTAGACCGAAAACTTGGAAGATGGATTCTCTTTCTTCTTAGAAATTCTATCATCATCGAAGCGATTGAGTCAGACTGGTCGTGCTATTGCCAAATTACCAGATTTCGGTACATTGCCCATGGCAAAAGCGGTTCTTTCGGCTTTGATGGAAAACCAATGCGGTCATGATCTTGTTGTACTATCGGCTATTTTAAGTGTCCTCAATACATCATTATTCCTGAAATCTGTGCCACCTGAAATGAAATCAGTCGATGGTGATTTTATGACTCTTCTGAAAGTTGTAAACAAATTATTATCTGAGCGAGAAAGATTTGGAATTCGTGAGTTTCGATTGGACTTGTTCTGCCAAACACGAGGAAAGCTTATGTCGGTACGGCACGTGTTGAATCGTGCTGTGCGACGATATGATGCATTACAAAAATCATTCAAAAAGCCGTCTGTCTACGCTAAGAAAGCACAAATTTCCAGTGGTGATTGGGAAGCGATTGCAAAATCATTATTGAAAGGATACGGTAATAATGTCTATGTGTCAATGAAACAATTGTACGGTCGAAACCATCGGTTCGTTCGATATCATTCTAACAAGGAAAAATATGCGGTTATGGATCATCATTCGACTTTATCGCGCTCAAAAAATCTACCCCCGATTCCTATCGTTTTCGCTCGAGATGTTCGCTATTCATCATCGGTTCGAGCTCATGCTGTCTTATCGTTTATCGGTCGACTCCAATCATCCTGGCTTCAGATGCACATTGAACGAAAAACGAACATCAATGTATTCGAAGAATATGAACTGAATACAGGAGGCCTTTTGAACAACGTGACATCATTCTATTCTGATGTTCAAATGCAAGCGAATCAACATGTTCTCACTTTGCAGGGTCCATCGGGTTCTGTGATCGAAGCTGAACGAGCTCTCATTCAAAAGCTAGTTCGAACCCAAAATTTTCCCCTGACCAATGATGTTCCTATAACAAAACCTGATGACCATAAAAGAATGGATCGGAATTTGAAGAGCGTGACAAAAATGACTAAAATATTCAATCCAATGATATGGCGTTGGAAGAATGAAGGACAAGTCAAAGTGACGATTACCACGGGCGTCGGTGCTGCAACATGTGACGTTAATATTGAAGGGCGAGATTCTCAATATCATTCTGTGAAAAACGAAATTGAGTCGTTCAAAAATTGGTTGAAAGACTCGGCCGTTATACGTCATCCTGATGCAAGTAAGTCTCCGACAAATCAGTCGACTCTAATTCTTCTCTTCAGTTGTACTACCTAGAATCATCAAACAACCAATGCGTAAATCCTGTCTCGATATTGAAGAAAGGATTTCTCATGTGACCGATTCGAAACGAACGACGATCGATTTATGGAATGGATTGCGAGGTTCGAAAGCAACACGAGAAACTCGTATGGAAGTAGTCGCTTGGATTGTCGTTTGCCAGTTCGAATGCCATGTCGAGGGTGGCTTTGTCCGAGACTGGATTGTCGGACATTATCAGGCTCGTCCAGCTGGAAATCCATCAACATGGGTTACATATCGCACTAACACAGCGGGAGATCAGGTTCCTGAACTCAGTAAAGAACTGGTGCCAACTGATCTGGATTGTCATTTGCCTGTGCATAAATATTTCGATCTTGATAAGTTTCTCGACTTCTTGCATAAATATCAGATCGAGTATAGTTACGTGCGAGAAGGCTGGAGGTACATATTTCTCTTGGATGAACACGCCAAAACTGGACCGTTCATGATGGATCTTATCGAACCACATGTCGCACTCACACATGATCGAATCGATTTCGATGTGAATAATCTTTCATTAGAAAAGGATTATACCAAAGAACTGGGTATGAGAGTTGACACGCGACCTAGACCGTACTCGATTGATCTCGAGGCGATTGTGGATAATATCAAACATAAACACTTTCAATTGTTACGCCCAACCGATCATACCATTAATAACCGCATTCAAAAAATGATCTCTCGCGGTTGGACGAAAACAGGGACAGATCTGAACTTCATTCCTAATCCACCACCCAGATGTGATGCTATCGTTGTTCCCGTACCTCAAATTGCTGATATCTACCAATCAATAGTACAACAGCTCCAAAACAATGTTGGCATTCAAGTCAAAGTTCATTCTATTGTTCAGATTAAAAATCCATCATTGGAGGAGGCATATCTAGCGATAAAACAGCTGATTGCTAAAGAATGTGTCGGAGGAAATCCGAATGAACGACTCTTATTTCATGGCACGAGTGGTACATCTATTGATGGAATATTGAATGATGGATTCGATGATCGTTATTGGAATTCCGGGAAATGGGGTAAATATTCTAGCAGAAAGCTCAGGTTTT